ACGTTTGTCAATTCAATCATAATTTTTTTTCAATTTAGTCAATTAAGTCCTAAACCTTTTGACAATTTATCAATGTTATCCATCTGACCAATTTTATTCCGAAATCGCTAACGTGAATGCCGATCGTCCTATGTGGTAGGACCAGCTCTGACGCAGATGAAATTTTTAAATTTTTTTCTGAATTTTTTATTTATTTATTTTCGTTTTTCTTTTCCTTTTTTTTCTTTTTTTTCCTTCTCTTTTCCTTCTTTTCTTTTTTTTTTCACTACGGCTGACGAGGTCGCTGGAGCTCGCCAGCCATCGGTGAGGGCCACGAAGCCCTCGCCAGCCACTGAGGAGGTTCGTGGCCCTTGCCCGGATCTGGCAAGGCCAACCTCACCTACGGCCATCGTGGCCATGGCGACGTCGGGATCAAGGTCGGGCTGTGGCATCTAGTTACGGCTCGCTGGAAGGTGGCTCTCCATCCTTACTGTGTTGTACTACTGTGTGAAGAGAGAGAAATGACATAGGAACAGAGTGGAAAAGGGGTTTGGTTGTAGATTTTGGGCGTGTACGAGGGCAAATAGATCTTCATAAGTTGGGAAGATGCTTAATAACATAATGTAGATTCTGAAATAGGAGGACGGAAGTTAATATAAAAGAGCAAAGCCGACACTATTCTTCTCAATTATCCCATTCATTATTCTGTTCATTTGCAGTGGAGTTTTCTCAGGCGGACGACAGACGAAGGGCATCATTAGCAAACATCCACAGTCTCGAATCACATGGTGGGCACAATCACGAGAGGCTACAATGATGAAGGCCCCTGCTTGGAACGCTATAAAATAAGGGATCTAAATCCAGTGATTAGAACAAAGATTTAGGGAGGGAAACATTAAAATAATCAGCTTCCACGGTTCTTGCATCTGCATCTGCCCCAGATGAAGCCTACGACACATGCATTGTAAATGCGTCAGAAAACAGAAGAACACGCAAGGGAGAAGCGGTTTCTGATGCCCATGTTCCAAATCCAAGTCGCCCCGGTTCGTGACAAAAAACCATTTGCTTTGGATCTGCAAACCCAACCACCGGGGTGCTGTCAGATCACATAGCCCATGTTACCTGAAACTGCTGCTGCTGTTGAATTCTGAATTTTTTTTTATCAAATTTGAGTAATTTCTAGAAGGAGGTGTTAATGGATATCTTTAAATATTAAGATAAGTATATTGAAAGACCTAAAACTTATCACGAAAGTGCAATTTAGTTCTGCAACTTTTGAAAAGTGCAATCAAGTCCTAAAACTTGTCACGAAAGTACAATCGAGTCCGATTAGTCCAATCAAGTCCTTCCGTTAATTGCATTTTTTGAATGTTTTAGAACTCGATTGTACTTTGCTGACAAGTTTTAAGACTTGATTGCACTTTTTGAAAGTTGTAGAACTTGATTGCACTTTTATGGCAAGTTTTAGGACTTAATTGCATTTTTTTCACTTTCATGACAAGTTTTAAGACATCCAATGCAGTCATCCTTTACAAATTTAAACTTTTTTAATTTAGTAACATTGTTTGCATTTATCGTGACCAAACTCGATGTACGGAAATTACTTTTTTTTCGCTATGATTGTTTAACAAGTACTTTCAAAGTGTTTTTTTCAAACTTTCCTTATGAAAGGGAGTACTAGCAAATTGGAACATGCTCAACCACCTGTCGTACTATGTACAGAGAATTTTGCTATCCTACTAAGTTCCTAACGATCTATGTGACAATTTTCAAAATCGCCGATTTTCTCTTCATTCGACGGTCCCTCTGCACGGACTTGGTTCGAGCCCTCGCTCTCCCAATCCCCTTATTAAGGACAGGGGAGAGATTTAATGCATCGTCATATCGAGATTATACGTATCAAAAAGAGTATTAGTAAAGATTTAAGATCAAAATGGCCATCGAAATTGAAATGCATTTTTAGTGATGTGAAACATACATGAATCCCTGGAAAATTACCAAAAAAAGTCCTAAACCTTTTGTAATTGTGCCAATTCAGTCCTAAACCTTTTTTTTTTGCCAATTCAGTCCTAAATCTTTTGCAATTGTGCCAATTCAGTCCATCCGGCCACTTTTGGCCTGCCGGCGCTGACATGGACACTGGCTGGCTGACGTGACAATATTTTAATAATTTTTTTATTATTATTCGAATTTTTATTTTATTTTTTTCTCTTTCTTTTTTTTTCCCTATCTTCTTCCCCTGTCGCTGGTCCGGTGGCCGGCGACTGGCGAAAGGCTAAGGCTGGCCCTCGCCAGCACTGGCGAGGTCGAGCTCTGCCGGCGACGACGAGGTCAACCTCGCCCATGGTCAGCAAGTTGGAACTCGCTGGCCTCAGCCTCTCACCGGTCGCCGGTCACCGCACCGGTGACCGGGAAAGAAGATAGGGAAAAAAAAAAAGAGAAAAAAATAATAAAAAAAGAAAAAAATTATTAAAATATTGCCATGTCAACCGGCCGGCCAAAAGTGGCCGGATGGACTGAATTGGTACAATTGCAAAAGATTTAGGTCTAAATTGATCAAAAAAAAAAGGTTTAGGATTGAATTGGCACAATTACAAAAGGTTTAAGACTTTTTTGGTAATTTTTCCCATGAATCCCCCTTCACCAATAAGCCAACAGGGGAATAACGTTAGACAAATCACGAGTCGATGGATAACGGAATGATAACAAGAGTACATGCGGGTTTCAATATTATATTGGAAGGATAACAATCTCTCCAAAGTTTTGAGAAAAAAATAAAAAGGAGTTACCGTGTTTTACAAAATTACAAAAGTCTACTTATATCACTATGTTAGTAAACAATTTCAGACAATTATCATTACTAACCAAAACAAAAGTCAATGTAGAAATTCTTCCTTCTTCTTTGGAATTTGTATTCTCGACTAATTCACATAAGTATATACTAAGTACTTGATAAACATTAAAGTTTATAATCAACATTAACGTTGAGCACCTCAAAATTGATAACAACATATCATCTTAAGTTCCCCCGTAATTTTAAAATATTAATATAAATTTTACTTTTGTTGATTTTGACAAGAAATCGCAAAGGGATGCTCATATTAGCTTTAAGCCGAACCAAACACACTTCATTTTGATAAGATCGCTCATATTGAATGGATCAACTTCGGATATACGAAACACCTCAAACAGATAAGTTGAAATAAGGGAATGTTTGTGGTTGATATGGCGAGTTGAGCAGGTGGCGCGCTTCCAATTCGTACAATATGTTAAATTATTTATCGCTAAGTTAATCCCATGTACCCGATACTTGATAATTTTTTTCTTACCGTTCAAGAAAAGTCTCGAAATAGATAAATCAAACATTAATATTTGCCTAATTATTTAAGGTGCGGTTAGACAAATTTTCAAATTGAACTATAACCAACAACTGAGGAAGGAGGATTCTCGAAGTCCGCTGGGTCCGTCCGAGGTAACCACCTCCACCAGAACAATTGTCCGACCGTTGCACGTCTCGGAACAGCAAGAGAAGAGAGACTCATTGGGCCAAAACAGTCCGGCCAAGGCTTGACTCAACCAGTTCTCCCGCGGCACACCTTCTATTGCCTTGAGGATTCCTGAGTCTCGGGTCGTCATTCGTAGCATTCGCCATCGCATCGTCCCGGGGGGAAGTCCCCGCCCCCTCGAGCCGAGTTCGCCTCGAGCTCCGAAAACCAAAAAGGCTCCTCCACACCGGTCAACACATCGCCACGAAGGAATAGCCCTCCGGGAAACTTAGAATGGCGAGACTTCCATGTACCCCGCCATATTGCGGAGACAAAGTTGGGTTAAGACAAATGTCCATGTAACGGTACGAAAACGACGTTCACAATTCGAATTCGAACCGAGCCACTAACAAACCGGGAGTCCCGAATTCGAATCGCGATTCTGTTAACGGGAGATCATTGTTTTCAAGTCTACAAAGTTTGGCATTCCATTTTGAAATCTTTTTTGCCCAGATCGAACCGATAGGTTCGGGGGACATCATTTCGAATTTGAAATGTGCTCTGTGTACACAAACCAGACGCAAACGTTCAAAGCCCCGAAAGAAGAAGGGGTTGTGTTGACCGCGTCAACCACCAACTCGCGGCTACCAAAAAGCTGCGACGAACTCCGCCACTTGGGAAAATAAAAAATAAAAAAAAAGAGGAAGGAAGGAAGGAAAATCGCAATTTTTCGTTTTTTTGCAAAACCGACGTGGCAGAAAAGGACAAAAGAAATAAATAAAAATGCGACGGGCGAGTCGTCACTCACTTGGGGTTGTGGGGTGGGGCAGCCTGGTTTGGGGGGGGCCCCACTGCTGCTGGGGGGACTGAAATCACGCAAGAGGAACGTACGGCAAAACATTCACGCCCGTCCACGTCACCGCCCCCTCCCCCAATTCAATGCCTTCCCGCTGAAGCAAAAGCCCTGCCTCTCCCTCCCTTCCTTCCTCCTTTTCCCCCCAACTTTACCTTTTTTGCTTTTTCGTCTCCGTAATGATAATGGCGTCAATTAAGCTTTTAACCCCATAACAAAGGACACAAATTCAACATAAAAACAGTGCATTCGCTTCGCGAAAAAATAGATAATTTAAAAAATATTTTTCGAAAATTAAATCTCGTCCGTAAAATAATTAGACATAAATTATTATTAACAAAAAAAATGCACCTTTCATATACTCAATATTTACTCTTTTTTTTTAACAATTTTGTCGCTTTTCCTGAGTCATAATCCATAGAAACAGAAACCCCCCCGGAGAAGGTATTTACATAGTTCATTTGTCGTCGAGTTTTGATCATACGCATCAAGCATGCCAAGAGCATATTAAAACATTGTTTAATTTCAAATCCACTCGCTATTCAAGTCTTCCCCATCCATTTTCCATCTCAATAAATTAACAAGAAAATGCTGTCGTCAAACCCGCCTTTGATTCTTGGACCGTGGGGATGCCGTTTCGCCCAGAGGGATTGGAATAATCTCCAAAAAACAGTTCACCCATGTTCTAGCACAAAACTTAGATCCTTGTTATTAATATAATATACTCTATGCTTTTCTAATCATCATCATCATCATCTAGGCAAATATTACAAAAGAGGGGGATTTGTGGTTGTGGACACCCTCATCTACAACCATCACCGCTACACAAAAAAAGGGGGAAGACAACCTTCCCCCCAACAAAAAAGAAAAAAATCTCACATCTTGAACTAAAAAACCCTCCAGAGAAACCCCAAATTCAAACCCAAAAGGACATCAAGAACCTTTTCTTGATGTTACCCTATTCTTTATTACAAGAAACCCCCCCCCCCCCCCCCCAGCTATTACCCTATTCAATTCCTAAAGATGGGTAGCAATCTCCTTAAAAGATGGAAATTATATATACTTAAAACTTATTTCTAACCTCTATTTTCCTACCACTAACTTACACTTGATTCACTAATATTATATATATATATATATATATATATATTCTTGCCCCTTATGGAAAATAACCAAGAAAATCAAGTACCATTTTCCCTAGTCGCGACCTGTCACGGGCCCTATCTTCACAAAAACTAATGGTTTTATCCAACAAACAGCACTAACAAATTCTTGGTCTTCTTCTTTGTTTCTTCTTCTTCTTCTTCTTCAGTACGTCCACTCCTGAGGGAGGCGTATTTCGTGGTTTAAACTCCTCTGTTTCGACAGGAGCGCAGCCCTTCTGGCCATCAACGCGGCTGCAACAATAATGCCCCAACATCAGCATGAACAGCAATCAATGTCTGCGTGAACACAATTTATCCGAAATCTGTAAAGGACGCGGTACCGTGGTCAGGGGCAAAAGCGTCATTCGAGAACGGCTGAGCTTGACCGCTCATATCGTCGACGTTCAACTGCAGAGCCTGCACGACTTTCGGAGGCACAACCACCGTCGTCGAACCGCCTGAACCAGGGACCCGCCGCGGAAAAACCCGGAATCAGCCAAATTGACAACAAAAAACTACTTACAAGCACAATAAGTCAAGAACCTCAAGGATCGGTTGGACCCTCAGTACCTGATTTCTTGCGAGATTCCGGCAAATCCCCGTATCTCCGAGGGAGGAAGACGCCGGTGCCGGCGCACTCGCGCTTCGACCCGGATCCGGCAACGAAGGGAGGAGCTCTCACGCCCGGACCGTTGTGCAGAGGAGTCCATGCGGACTGGAGATATCCCTGATTTCGCCCGCATCTTCCATTCACGAGCCCTGCATTTTTCACTCTGCTCTGGATCTGTAACTGTAGCTGTTGCTGTTGCTGATTCTCGGACCAGCCCTCCATTGTTCTTGCCCAGACCGGAAGGGAGGCTTGTCGTTTTAGCACTCGGTCCTCTCTTGCATGTTGAGGATGCTACGAAACAAAGACCATGAAAAAACGGCATATCGACATCAGTAATAGCTCGAAAAGCTCATACCCTGCGCTAAACCATTTATGAGGAGAGTACTGTCACCATACCTGAGTTGGCTGAGTCAGAACGTGAGCGACTCGGTGGTGGCTCGAGTGGAGCCCTGGGTTAGTGATTCTTCCGGAGACGAGTCCTCCGTTTTGCTGGTGAGCGCTGTACTTCGCTTCCTGACATGTCATCTTCAACCTCGCCACCTCCATAGCTGCAGCGTACACGAGATCCCAAGTCTCGCTCTCGGCCCCGAACGGCGTGGTTGGAGATGGAATCTGAGAGACGTTCTTCGGGCTTTCGTTCGCGGAGAACAGGCTGCGACTCGACCAGCTGCCGATTCCACTCAGTGTGGATTTGGGTGAACCGGCCATGACCCATAATTTCTGAGTCAAAAAGAGAACAAAAAATAAAAAAAACGCATGTTACAGCTCAGTTTCCCTGTAAAGTCGAAAGGAAAAGCAAACCCAGAACAGGATAAACTCATCCTTTAGACGCTTTCAATTCGTTTCTTGCAGATTTTCGCTTTCAAAAAACTTTCTCAAAAGCAGCGAGTGACGAAACAGAGCACTCCTGTTCTTTTCTCTTTCCCCTTTTTCTTTTTCGTTTGCTTTTCTCACCTCGGGCTTGTGGCGAGCGAAACCAGGAACGGGCAGCTTCTGAGCGGGGGGCTCGTAAAAGGGGGACTGAGTCAGCGCTCGAGCCAACCCGGCCCAGGGGTCCTCCTCGTCGCTGCTCTCCGTCTCGGTCGAGCTCAGCACGGACTCCACCGGCGAGTCGATCTCGTAGGGGAACTCGCTGGGGAAGTTGCTCAGGCACCAAGCGAGCTCGCCGTCGACCCCGGGCTCGGGCCCGCGCCGATCGACGGCGAGGACGGCGGCGTTCGCGCCGGGCCCGAGCTTGCCCCTGCCCATGCCGCACGGGTGGTCGTGGCGAGGGAGGTGCTTCGAGGGAAGCCAGAAGTCAGCGTCGTCGAAGGACTGCGCCATGCAAGAGCCCAGGGAGAGGTGGAGAGGGGGAGAGAGAGAAAGAGAGAATGGATGGAGGAGAGAGGGGATGGGAGAAGGAGACGTTATAAGGAGTGTTGTTGCAGAGTGTTGTGGGGTGAGGGGGGTGGTGAGCAGGGGAGGAGATGGGGGGACCCAACAAAAGAGAAGGAAAAGGATGGACTGGTGAGAGAGAGAGAGAGAGAGAGAGAGAGAGGTGGAGGTAGAGAATGTGGAAGACAAGCTGCTCTTATTGAGGTTTCCCGGTGTCTCTCTTTTGGGTTATTTCAAAAAATTTGTGTATTTTTTTAAATTACAAGAAATTCTTCTAATTTAGATTTTTCTTGTCTTTGTTTTTTCAAACAAGGAAAATTCAAAATAATAACCTAAAGTGTCCTCGATTTCTAAAATAAAGGCTTAAAGTTGATTTTATTTCCAATAAGGACATGAGTGTCCTCATTTTTTTAAATAAGTGTCCGAAATTGACCTTATTTCAAATAATAGTATGAAGTGGCTAAATCAATTTCAAATAAAAATCTGACTTTCCAACTGGTCAAGGGCATTTTCGACCTTTACATTTTATTGAATTTTTTTCCTTTTTTCTTCTTTTTTTCTTTTTTTTCCTTTTTTCTTTCTTTTTTCTTTTTTCTGATTTTTTCTTTCTTCTTCGCCGGTGGCCGATCTCAGGCGATGGCTGCCCACCGACGATACCAGGAGAGGGCTGGGTAAGGGCTGCCCCCACCCGATCTGCCGAGGGCCACTCTCACCGGCCACCCTCGCCGGCCACAGGTGAGGGATGGCCTCGCCCACGGCTAGCAAGGGCCTGGTTCAGGGGACCCTCACCCAAATTTGGCAAGGGTGTCGCGGCCCTTGCCAGTTGCCAATGAGGGTGGCCGAGCCCTCACCAAAAAGAAAACAAAAAAGAAAAAATAATTTAAAATTAAATTTATATTTGGCAAAATCGAGTCCTTATTTGAAACTGTTATGGCCACTTCAAGCTATTATTTGACATAATATCCACTTCATGCCCTTTTTTTATTTCCCCATTTTTTGTGCCCGAGGGAAAAAAGGCCAATAAATTTTGTAAAATTTTAGTTAGAATTTCTTTTTTTTTTCTCTTTGAATGTTGATGATTTTAGATTGAAATTAGCATTGACGGAGGAAGTAGATAACCATCCTTACGCAATTCTCAATAAATCTTAAACATGAGTAAATTTTGAAAGCAGTTAACTCTCTGTGACGAAGACCGACGGCATGTTTGATGTAGAAATGGTAAGGGAATAAGGATGAAACGAAAGAAAAACGGGAATTAGTCTCACTGATCCTATAGAACTTCTTCCGGTTGTATCTGGTTGCTAAAAAAATCATGCAAGAATCATAAATATATGAAGTCCAATGTCAATCATATCCTAGAAAATCCATGACAGAGAAAAATAAAGATTCGTGTGTTATTATACTAAGAAAAAGACATATTTACACTCCGTTCGTTTCGCGACAAATAAATAATCTAAAAAATATTTTCTTAAAAGTAAATGGATAATATTTTCATTATTAACAATAATTTATGTGTAAGAATTTTTGTGGACTATAAAAATAATATTCATTTATGCATATTTGTAAGCAACACAAGCGATCGTTTTTAGCAAATCATTCATTTTCGCGAAACAAATGAAATCTTAAATTGGATACGGTAAATCATAAAAACTAAAAATGACTCGACATGATTTGGTTAAGGGAAAACATAATTTATGTCCCGCTTCCTTCAACCATGAGGAGGGGACGGAACATGTTTGATCGAGGGGCGTCGAAGCTAAACGATAAGGATGGCTATTGGCTTTTGCAGGTGGCCTTGAATTTATGGGATCGAATCGCGATGACTGTTGGCTTTTGACTTTCGGAAGCATCGCCCTAACGTATCTTTATACACGAGCCCAATCCCTTCGGTACATGAACACTGGGTTGGCTCACGGGTAAAATGGTGTGTTCAAATATATCTACCATCTTATATTTTCCTTCAAACGGCACCAGTTTGTATCCTCAAAAACAATAGCAGGCTTTCCGGCACTATTTCGACGCAATCAGCATTGTAACGGCCTCATTCGGATCTAAGATTTCATATAGTCACCACGACACTCTAATGGCATGCATAATTTATAGCTGAATTTCGTAAACATAACCACATAATCTAGCGTTACGACAGCCTGGAAACATGGTTTTTTTTTCGACTATTCAAACAAGCAGCATAACCGTGTATTCTAGACTTTGAAATTTCATTTCGACGTTATGGCAACCAAAGAATACGCATTTTCGACTATCCGAGCGAGCAGCACAATCACGTACTCTCAAACTTATGATTTTAAAGGGGTGTTATAACATCCTAACATACTGTAATATGTCAAATTGGATACGGGGGTGTCGGGAACTTACTGCACGGAGTGAGGGACCTCAGTGCCTACCAAGATAAATGAAAACACGCCTTTCGAAAAATGTAAGAATCGTTGTCAAACCGAGAGAATTTCAAGAAAACAATAGGCAACGCAAGGGGCTCCCACGGTTGAAATGGAAATGAGGGAGGGAGGGGGGGTACATGCAGGCCAAGGCGCGTGCGCTTCATGTCGAGAAATTTCACTTTCGGAGTCTGTAACTTCTCCATCCGACGTTCAATTCGTGTGGTCGTTGCAGCGTTGAAAAGCTCGAATTGAGGGCTTCCCAACAAGCAGAATATTTTCAAGTAAGGCTCCCTTTGTTTCACGAAAAATATTTTCCGGCATTTAGATCGCATAGAAAAATGAGTCAACGGAAGATGTTTTCCTAGTCAACGAAAAAGGTTTTCCTACCGATGCTTAAATTCACGAAAATAATTTCCTCGTTCAAAGCGGAAATCATTTTCTAAAATATGAACCAGAAACTCGGCGCTTGGGCACTGAAACTCCAGAGCTCAATCCTAGACTCTTCATAGCAGGGCCGCGTCCCTAGCATTCGGGCTCGAGTCCTCGGCGCCTACGCCCTAGTCCATCAAGGCAAGGCTTGGGACACCACTACCCGTGCCCAAGACAACGAGTCCGGTAGTATCGAGGCCAAGCCCGAGTCCTCGATGCCTGTGCCCGGGTCCATCAAGGCTGGGCCCCGAACCCTAGCGCCCATGCTCGGGTCCCACCTTCCAAGCCCAAGTCCATCAAGGTTGAACCCGAAACTCCTATGCCCGTGCCTAGGTTTCTTGTGCCCACGCCTCAGTCCATTGATGTCGGGCAACGGGAATTGGGGCCTAGCCTCGATGGACTCGGGCGTGGGCACCAAGGTCTTGGGTCCGAGGGTAGGGGACTGAGTTCCGGGTGTCGGATTTTAAACGACAGAAAATATTTTCCAACTTTCAACCAAACACTGGAGAATATTGTCATTTTTCTGAAAAATGACATCATGAAAAATATTTTCCATGAACGTCATCATTTTTCACAAAACAAACGGAACTTAAAATTGCGAAAACAACATTAGGGCCGGAGGCTCGGATATATGAATTGGACATATTTGTGGCGGCTTGACACTCTCAAAAATGATCACAAGCTATAACTTAGAGGTATGGAAAGTTTCATTAGATTTTGAGACCTCTAAATATGGTTTCAAACTCTGAATTTTTTCTTTTGGGTACCTGAAAGTTTGATCGAAGTTTGACAGGCAAATTACTTCCTCATCTGACATCCGATCAGCCTGGTTTTTGTTGCGTAGAGATGCTTGTTGTCCTTGGCTTCATGAAGTGCTATTGAAATTGGGAAATTGCAAACTTCCCAACACCACAAAAATTGGGCAACCGATCCCAAAGGGTCAACGATTTGTTGTCAAATTCGGATGGTAATATAGGTGTCGAAAGACTCGTCTTGACGAACAGAAACCATTTTTGAGGTTGTAAATGCGCTTCGTGCATGCATCTCATCGGTTAAACTTTCGCCAATCCTAGGTCAACCTTAAGAACTCCATCAAAAGAGGGCCAAATTTGAGACGTGAAGAAATACATTAGCACCACTGATCTCTTCGTCTGGTATACAATTGGTCAATATTGAAATAAACTTCATTTCTAGAAATACCTTTTCTGTTCCCAAAGTTAAGCCTCATAGCATATTTAGCGAGAAAATTACCGAGAAAGTCTTAAATCTATTGCATTTATGTCAATTCAGTTACAAACCTTTCGATTTGATCAATTGGGTTATAAACCTTTTGATGATTTACCAATGTAGTCCTTTCGGCCAATTTTGGCTGGAAATCGCGAACGTGAACGTTAAACATCCTACGTGGCATGGCCAGCGCTGACATGGATAATATTTATATATTTTTAATAATTTTTTGAGGTCGATTCTTTCAAGCTAAACAAGTTTGAGGAAGTTTGATAATTAAGATAGGGCCTTTTTGGATCATCAATTCTCAACTTCTTCTTTTCGTAATTTTCTCTTAAATGTAGTCACCCCCGAGGTTTCATGATCCATCTAATTTCTTCACGCTAAATTACGGCCGTATGCGGGGCGCTCTCACTCTCACTCTCAAAAATCCATGCCGTCACCGTTACTGTCAAAGCCGCTGCCACCGCTGCTACCAGCACGATACCACCAATTGTTCCATAATCACCACCACTATTGCCGGAATTACGGTTCCACCATTGCTCCATAGTCACCACCTTAACGCGCCTGCGCACACATGTGCGTGCGTAAGGACCTCATCCATGAGTCTCCAGCAACCTTCGACGATCTTTGATCACCCCTTGTCGAGGAACACGCACACAGAGATGAGGGAGGCTGGCGATCATAGGTGGTGGCTTGACAGACGATAACAAATAACGGAAGCGACTTACAACGGCGAGAGACGGCAGCGAGCGACGATCGGCTATGGTGGACAAGTAGCGAATAGACAAGAGAAAGAGGAAAGGGGTCGTTGGGCTCGAGGGTTGTTCGTGCTATGGGAAGGATTGTATCGAGCGATCGAAATCATTCCTTCTCAATGACAATCATCAATGACCAAGCATCTTCTAACTAGCCGCAGCTATTGGCCGTTGATCTGACCGCGACAAATTAACACTAATTCAAAAAAGCGTTGGAGCGAGAATGTTTTCAATCACGACGAT